GGCAACCATGCCACCAGCAAGTTAACAGAGAAATCAGAAAAGCAATCCAAATTGTGACCTCCATTTAGTAAACATTCTCAGGCATACTTATTTATTTATTTATTTCAATTACTTATACCCCGCCCTTCTCACCCCCCGGGGGGGGGGGGACTCAGGGCGGCTTACAAACAAAGGCACAATTTGATGCCTGAATCAATTAAACAAGCAGTACATAAAACAATTTAAACAATTAACAGGTTAAAACATTCATAATAATAATAATAATAATAATAATAATAATAATAATAATAATAATACGTCCAATTGTTAATTACAAGGTAACATCCATGTAGATCTCAGTGATACAATGGGTCTGTTCTACCTGGGTCTAACAATTCGATTTGGATTATTATTGTTATTATACACTATCAAGTCAGCTTCAATTTATGGCAATTGTATGAATGAGAGATCTGCAAAATCTGCAAGAACAGATCAGGTTCAGTTTCTGCAAGATGAGGGTTGAGCTTTTCTTGATTGAATCAATCTACCTAATACAGTCTTCCTTTTCCCCCTATTGCCTCCCATTTTACTAAGCATTTTCATCCTAACGAGTCCTATTGTCTCATGATGTGGCCAAAGTATGATAGCCTCAGTTTGGTCCTTCTGAGTAGAATTTATGCTTGATTTGCTCTAGGATTCATTTATTGATAAACAGGGCAGTCCAGCATATCCATAGAGCTCTTCTCTTGCACCACATTTCAAATGTGTCCTGTTAATTTTCTATACACAGAGGTTGGAAATTAATGGCATGACTGATCCAGACTTTGGTATTCTATGATGCAGCCTTACACTTGAAGATACTACTTGGATTTGGCCCTAGCTGTAAAGTACTTCTTGGATGGAGTCAGAGTTCAAAAGGTATTATAAATATTGTTCTGTACTCCAGTCCGTTAGAGAATGCTAATGCAATAATACTGTGATATTATTTAAACACGGAGCTATAGTTTGCTGCTTACAAAAATGAAAACTCCCGTGGATTCATTCTCTACTGTGATGAAGTAGCATGAGAGATTATTCACCCTTTTAATAAAACCCACAGAAAAAGTGTTCTTCTGGGAATCTGGTAATGCTGGGGACCACAGAAACAGCATTTGGGGTTTCATGTGGTCCCTGGCAGAAATTTCCCATCTTCCCACAGTCCTTTCACACCACCACACTATTATAATTTTATTCCTCCATTTTAACTGTCATGGCTGCATCCTATAGAATCCTGGTATTTGCCATATGGTGAGGCAGGAGAACTCTTTGGTTAAAAATTCTAAATATCCCTCCCTAAATGACATATTCTTTAGTAGTAGTATGCAGATGATAGATGGAGGAAAGCATTTGGATTAATCATTTCATATCATTTCATAATCTCAATTTGAAAAAAAAGCCACATACCTCTCCCCAGACACCTTAGTCCAAATGGAAAAACCTGACTGGATCCAACTTATCAACAGTCCCTTAAAGTCTGAAAATTCTAAGTGTACTCCAGATTTTTCCCTTTGTTGTATGGAGGTCAGAAATGTTACATGTTTTGACATGCTGGGTGGAAGTTTTCAAGAGCTGTTGCCTCCAAACTCAAGTTTTTCCAGCTTCTGGTCTTATCCATCATGACAAAATCATGCATAATCTTAGGCAGAATGGGCAAAATCAGCAGGGGATGATTTCCTGTCTCTGTATTTTGGCATGGAAAGCAGCTGTGCGTTTTTCTTGGAGACTGTCTTAATGGAATAACTTTCTCCATAACCTTTCTATGTTCACTAGCATTGTTATACAGCATGACCCCCATATCCATAGGGGGTATGTTCCCGGAATGCGCATAAATATGCAAAACCATTAATAATAGTGAATGAATGAATTTTATTATTACGGTCACAGATCAGATGTTTAAAGATTTTAATGTTTTAAAAACATTAAAAATAAGAGTTCAAAACAATTAAAGCAGAAAGTCCAGGATATGCAACCATGCTAAATGGTTAATAGTGAATCCTATTGAAACGAAGGAATTCTGACCCAAAAATATCATAGTGTTATGCTGGGGGACATAGAAAATGCCTAGCGGAGATGTATTTTTAAGACATTGATATATAGAATTTGCAGGAAATAGCCCTGTGAAGAAGGGATAGGAAAGATTCATCATGTACTGCAGAAGTTAAAATCATAGTGCAACTACAATTTTATTTCTGAGACAATTGCTAGCCAGGGGTATGATTTCAGATATCACCAGGAAGGTTAAAAAGACTCCAGTGCTGTTTAATGGCATTCAAATACCCACTTCTATATGTATTTAAAATGAAATTACCCAAAGTGGTGCATTTTAAAATCTTTTTTTTTTTTTGCCATTTTTGCCACAAAAATACCACCCACACAAGATAGTCAGTCAGCTCTCCTTTAATGCACAGAGTGTTACACTTTTTTCAAATCATACAAAGTAAATAAGCCCATCTGACAATTGTTAATAACAACAGTTGCAGGGGATATGAAACTTCGGGGCCTCTGTGGCAACCAATTTACAGTTTTGGATCACAGGAAGACCGCAGGGAATAGAAAAGTATAAATTGAAGCCTATGATTCAGTATAAGGCAAAGCATTTCTACATGCAAGCAATATAATCCAATGTCTGTTTTAAACTCTTACAAACATATGCAACAAAATTCTATGAATATTTACCCAGAAATTATTATTGTTTTTGATTGAATATACAGTATAATCCTAGATATGTCCACTCAAACATAAGCCATACTGAGTTCAGCAATTGTAGTGTTCCTCTTAATGAGAGCTGCAGTCTTATGACCTCATCAGACTAATTTGCCTGTTGTAGGCTGGTTCCTCTCCCCTTTTGCCACAGAGCCCATTACACGATGTGCATCTACTTCTGTCAGGGCTTTGTGGCAAAAGAGGAGAGGAAGCAATGTACAGCTCTGTCACTGCAACATGGGAGGTTTCCCATGTTGCATTTGCAACAGTGAGGGGAAGCCAGGTGGTGGATGCTTCCCCCCATGGGATGCGGTTAAACATAAGTTGGCCGACGTGGGGTGTGGGGATCCCCTGCCAGAATCCCACGGATTCACCACAATGTGTGGCGAATCCCAACGTTAATATAATCAGGTCCTAAGACTTAACCAGGAGTAAACATTGAACTCAGTGGGCTTACTTCTGAGCAGACATACAGAAGATGGCACTGAAAATAGGCTTTGGATTGCAACCTTAATATATGACAGACCATGAGAAGAAAAGGGAAGGAACAAGTCCTCTCCCCCAACCTTTGCAGATGGGAAACTGTCTACAGTTTTTCATTTGATGCATTTCAATGATCACATTTAATGGCAAATCATGCAATTCTAATTCATATCAGTGGGTTCTATGAACCACAGGGTGCGTATAACCGACTGCTGCTGTGTTCAATGAAGTATCACTCTTCTCTGTACAGAGTAGATAGAAGGTGAATGGGAGTGGATGAATGAATGACTGGAACAGACTGTTCAGTTTTACTATTATTGCTGAAATGGAATGTCTAGTCCTAATCATTCAGAAAATTTGAGCAGGAAAGGACTAGATGGAAACTGCTCCACCTGCCTTGGATGAAAACACCTGGTTCTTACACTTGTTTTAAGTCTCTCTATTGCTATTCTGAAGGGGAACAATGCTGGGTTGGGATGTTCCAACTGTAATTGGAACATCCCAACCCAGAATGATAGGAAAATCTAGTAAAGTTCCAATAAAGAACTATAGATAGGCACAGATACATTGATGACATCCAAGAAAGTATAGTTGGCAAACCTTCCTTAGGACACCCTTCCCTCTCATCAATAACTAACAGCAATTACTCTGACACACAAAATTGGGGCAAACAAGCTGAGAAGAAACCAAAGATTTTTAGTGATTCTCAAGATTCCGTCATTGTCTTGCAAAGCAAAGGTCTGTCTCTCTGGTTCTTCTTTTCTGCCTCAACAGCTGGGATTGCTATTGGATAGAAGCTGTGGTTACTGGGTAGATTATAAGCTGTGCCATAGTTTTGCTGAACCTGCAAATAGCTTAGCACAAGGGAATGAACTGAGGTGATATAATGCAGCACTTTTGTAGGTGTGAATGAATGGGGTAAAGAACTGACCAGACAATATGGTAGGCAAAAGAGCAGGATACAAAGAATAAAAGAGGTTATAATCACTCTGGAGAATGATGAGCCTACAGGTGCTCACTTGCCATGGTTACATCAATATTCTGCATAATGTTACTTTGCACAGACCTTTTGAAAATATTGGCCCATTTTGTCTCATTTGCCTGAGGAGTCAAGTTCCGATTTTACAGAAAGGAGAACCAAAGTAGGTCACTGAGCATTCCCATTGTTCTGACAGGAAATGAAGACGGAGGAGAGAAAAATGGGGAGCCTTACCAAACAGAGTTACTGGCTAAGTGAAGAACACCAGAATATCAGAAAAGTCCTGCTAGATTGGACCAGTGGTTTATCTAACTTGGAGATCTGTTTCCAGGATGTCTTGGAAATAGGTGCCTCTAGAAAGCACCCAAGCAGTGCACAATGGCAGAAATTGCCATTTATACCCATTGAATTTGGCATTTTAAGATACACTGCCACTGAGTATGGGAGCTCCATTTAGGTATAATGAAATATAGATACTGAAAACATAATTTACCCCCCTCCAAATTCTGCATATTTCATGACAATTGTCCACACGTCTTTTCCAGACACCTGTCTCCAGACAGTCTGACAACTAAATCCAGCACTGTGCTATAACATTAAATGGTATAAATGCATTCCTCACCAAACAATGATTACGTAATGTCATACATCCCTCAACTCACTTTCCCTTGAAATCAGTCCAGTTCCAATGTCCTTTTGCACACTCTGGAAACAATTACACTATTTCATGTTACTCACACTGATAATAAATTCTTGAACATATACACACCTTTTTGAGACATGCAATAAATATAAATAATTCCCAAGAGAGTCTTACCCTCTTCTTAAAAAACTGGAAAGCAGAACACTTCTTTACTGGGAATCCATTCATGTCTTTGTTGACCATCTTCCTCGAGGGAGGCGCCAACAGTGATAAATCCAGGGCAGAGCTTGTTTAGTTGGTAGTATACCTGCTTTCCTCAGTGTCCCTTCTGGAAACGATTAATGAAGGAAGAGGAGGAGAGGTGTAAGCGAGAAGCCACTTTGCCCTCTTTCACACCCTCATTCTGCTGCACCGGCTACTGCAGCTGCAGCAGGAAAAGCTGTTGCTGGCTCCTGTCTCTCTCTCTCTGTTTCAGTGATATTTTAAAAACATGCCTTACACACATCAACGGAACAGCTATGAAAACCCAGAGACAGTTGGGAAATCTCTGTTTAGAGGGGTGGGAGAATGGGGGTGAGACAGATCTTGCTCAGCTGTGAGCTGTCTTCTTTCCTGATAGCTCAGCCTCTGCTTCTTATTCTTCTGCAGCTGCTTTTACTGCTCTGTGGATTCTCTTTGCTCTTCTTCAGGTGATGGAGTGATTCATTGGTGTTTGCAATGAGAGATGGTTTGGCTCTCCAAGTACCACAGAGAGATGCAGTTCAACAGCAGCAGGAGCGGCAACACACACGCAGAGAGAGAGAGAGAGAGAGACAGTGAGACAGAGAAAGGGATGCATAAGAAAAAGCAGCCAAGCAGAAATAAGTGCAAGGATGAAGGGAAAGCTCAGGGCACAGAAGGAGTGCAAGGCAATATGCTTCCCAAGGGGAAATAATACTGGCAAGTCTTGTATTATGACAGAGCCATCTCAGTTCAGACAAAAGAGGGAAAATGAAAGAGGATAGAGGGTGGCGCAAAGTGAGTGCATAAGAATAAGCGATTCATAAATACTCTTTATGAGCCTACTCTGAGATTGTCATGGGGCAAAAAATCAATTGGGAAATATAACACCATTTTTTTTTCAAAGAAGGAGGTGGGTTTTTGTCACAAAATGAAATGCCACATGTGTGTATATGTGGCTAATGTGGTACCCACATCACTTGGAATGACAATCCTGTCATGAACTGTGGGGTTGGCCCTTTAATTTCCCCCTTTTTATGTCTTCTATTCAGGAAGGAACTGCTCTTAAAGCCCTTTTACACTACACAAGTATAATGCTATTATTCCACTTTAACTACCACAGTTCCATCCTATAGGATTCTAACATTTGCAATTTGGTGAAATGTAAGAACATACCAATCCCAGGATTCCATGACAGTTAAGAAGGAAGAAAAGTGCTATAATTGTCTGGTGTGAAATGGCTTTTAGACTTCCTTTTCTTAAATAGGTAACATTTTCCAAGGAGGATCACCTCATACTGATGAAAGTGATTTGGCCATATAATTTGTTTGTAGGAACAAGCCATATGTGAATTGATACTATGCTCCCAATACTGAGCCTAATACTGTGACACCAAAGTCAACTGAAAGATCTATCATTGGAATAGCAGAATTGTCTGCTACTGGACTGTGGGCCCTAGTCCTGGTAGAAACAGGACTTTGAAAAGTAGACAGCAGATTAGGAAGGTTGTGGATCATGAATATCCCCCACCCTGCAAGCATCTATGACTTAAAATATCACTCACCCCCAGAATTGCACAAAGGCTGAGTTACATTACAGACATACCTATTTAATAAAGCCTTGTTCTGTGGTCTTTGACCAGGTAAAGCAAGCCACCCATTGGCAGGGACGATGGTGGTGACAACTGATTCCCTCAGTGAAAGCGTTTATAACAGGTTAGTTCTGGAACATTCCTGCTATTTGCAGGCAAGAATCTATATTTATGGTGCACAGACAAGAATGTGTCTCAAACACAAGCAATCTCATCAGATGGGCTGATTTGCCCATCATACACCATTTGCTCTCCACTTTCGAGATAGAACCCATTATACAACACACAGGGACTTCTGGCTGGACTCCGTGTCAAAAGAGGAGAGCAAGTAGCGTATGTTGCCACTGCGGCAACACGGGAGGCTTCTTGTGTTGCCTTAGGAGCAATGGGAAGAAACCGGCTGGCAACACTTCCCCCTGTGGGATTGAGGCCAAGGTAAGGCAGGTGATGCAGGGTGTGAAGCAGTGGGTTCTCCACACCACCCACCCCCCCGCTGGGACCCCATGGATTTGCCACAATGTGTAGTAAATCCATGGGCCTTTGTGATGAGGTCCAAGAATGTGCCATTCATTCATGCTCTTTATACGCCCAGGATATGGCAAGAGTGTAACAAGAATATCTAATTATTCAAGAAGTGGAGGAGTTATCTTGTGACAAGATAAAATTCAGTAGCTGAAACATTTCTGGAGATACAAGGAACCTATCAAGGAAAAGATTATAAAGATTATAAAATTATTGTGTTTTCAGTACTGACAGAGTAGATAGAGACAACTGACATATTTCTGCAGGGTTTAATTTCCACACATCTGCCTAAATACTCTAAAGCAGGGGTCCTCAAACTTTTAAAATCGGGGGCCAGTTCACTGTCCCTCAGACCGTTGGAGGGCCGGACTATAGTTGTTGTTTTTTTTTTTAAATCAATTAAAAAATTCCTATGCACATTGCACATATCTTCTTTTGCTGTGTGGAAGGGCCCTTAGAGGGGGTTCTTTCTAGCCCTCTTTAGGCAGTAATTCCAGGAGCAGAGAATGGGAAATCTTCCTATTTCTAGTCTGAACAAAATCTGGCTACCAGTATTTAAAAAAAACTCTAAAATTATAACTGTAAATAAAGAACAACACTCAAACACAGGGGAACTCCAGACAAGAAACAATCAGGGCCAGCTAATCACCTCTCAACAAAGGATTCTCCCTAAAAACTGTCAGGCTATGAAATGGTAATCAAGGTGGCCAATTGAAACATTCATACCTACCTCCAACAGACAAGAGTTCTTTCTCCCACCCTGGATCTTCCACAATTTTCCTAGTTAAAGGTTTTCCTCTGACATGAAGTCCAGTCGTGTCTGACTCTGGGGTGTGGTGCTCATCTGCATTTCTAAGTCGAAGAGCCGGCGTTGTCCGTAGACACCTCCAAGGTCATGTGGCCGGCATGACTGCATGGAGCGCCGGGGCAGCCTCCCTTGGCTGGCTCACGCTGCCCATCGGGCCCGATGGGCAGCGTGAGCCTGCCAAGGGAGGAGCAGCCCCGCGCAGCCTACTCGCACATAAAGCACCTCGCGAGGTGCCTTACGTGCAAGTAGGCCACGCGGAGCAGCTGCCCTTAGTTGGCTCACGCTGCCCATCAGGCCTGACGGATAGCGTGAGCCAGCCAAGGGAGGAGCACTGTGTGGGGGGGACACTCCTCCGCGGGCCGGATAAGTGTCCTTGGTGGGCCAGAAGTGGCCCGCGGGCCATAGTTTGAGGACCCCTGCTCTAAAGACACCAGATCCTGCCTGATCCTGAAAGCTAAGGAGAGTCAGCCCTGGCTAGTACTTGGATGAGAGACCACCAACAAAATTCCAAGTGCTGTAAGTTATATTTCAGAGGAAGGAATTGGCAAAACCACCTCTGAGGATCCCTTGCTTAAGAAAGCCCTATGAAAAATTCTCCACAAGTTGACAAGTGATTTGAAGGTACACATATAAACATAATTTCTGCATAGCCCAGATATTGTCTTCAGTATCATGGCCTAGTCCCAGAATATATTTAATATGGATAAAGAAATTAAAAATGTCTCATCCGGTAGAAATCATTTCCCCTTTCTCACCATGAAAGCACAGCCTGTTTCTACACAGTCTGGGGCCTTTTCAGAGAATCGCTTTCATTTTGCAAATGCATCTTCATTCGAAGGACAAAGATGCTCGTGTCTGAGACATTTCCCCTTCTTACAGAATGTGATTTTCTTAGAAGTTAGTATAGCACTGCAATTTGTCTGCAATACACTTATACAAGTATCATGGGTAGTTATTGAATAAAGTCAGAAACATCACCAGAAATGACCAGCAATTGATTTCTAACCTGTGTTGCAAACCTAATTGGTTCTGGGCAAAGTCTGGGAGAAGAATCACATTGTCAGTTCAACTCAACACCCACTGCTTCACAGCAAGCTTTTATACTTTAGCTAGACATACTGCTGAGGCAGACTATGCCTTGAAACAAATCTGTTTCAGCCTCTGTGCAGCTTTAACAAAATTAATGAAATCTGATGTAAGCCAAATTTTGCACCAGATTTCACAGACACAGCAGGGCAGGATCATCTTGGTTATATACCAAATCACATTTTGATGCTGCATAAGGAATTATCTAGTACAGACATTTACAGGTTTAGACTTTGCAGATTATTCACAAATTTGATTACCATGTTCTCTCTGGGAATCTCTAGGTTCTCCAGCATGACTCTATGGTCAACTTCTGCCAAAAGGGTGAAGTGGATTTCAGATACCATATTAGGCACAGCTTTTGCGTGCCTCATATGATATGGAAATAACATGAAAGACAAGTGAAGTAACCTGTTTACGAAATCTGGCCTAGCAAACAATTCCACCTGGATTACTAACATGCTATGATGTTTACAAGCTTGTCTGTTCACATGTCCTAGATGACAAATACACAGATTTCTTGGAAGTTGCTTTCTTCCTCTTTGCACACTCTTCCTTGTTTATTCACCTGCATTATAAGTGTTGTTTTGACAGGTGACGAGATTAAGGGTTATAATGGAGTCTCACTTCAACCTTGTGAGAAAATGAACACCTCATCAAACAAGTACCATTTAATTCTTCAGTATATCCTCTTCCTTGTATTTTGGATTCTTCTTGTGTTGTTTCTCTGACCTTTCATATTGAGTGCAGCCTTTTACATTTTGTTTTGCAGGAGGGAAGGCAGTCTAGAGGAGAAGGAAGCATCTGATTCACTCTTGGGAGGGTAGAAATGGAATGAACCTTTCTTTTTCTTCTCCTTCGAACCCAGATCATCAGCTTCTTCATCATCTGAATTGCATTCTTCCACACCTGTAAGCACCTGCAGCAGTGGCCCATCCTAGAGCCTGACAATTGCTTCAATGAAGTGTCAGATGGAGCACAAGGGTTTGAAAATAGCTGCCTGAATATATATCTATATCTATATGCACCATCAAATGTAATGCACAACTCAATCCTGAAGGTGCAATTAAAAATGGATTTGCCCTTTCATGTAATACAGCACAGGCATAGCACGTCAGGGAGGCAAACAGCATGAATGAGGTCATTTAGGAAGCCAAGCCATTCCCTCAGGTCAAGGCTGGTGAAAACGCCAACCTTGCATGATTCCCAACTTCCCTTATTCACGAGGCTTTCAATACTGAGGGGGAGGTTTTGAAGGCTTCATGAATGAGGCCAGTTGGAAACTTCATAAGACTGAACCTGGGCAGTGGGCAGAGACCCTGAGGGCTACCTGGGAGGCAGGATCATCAGCTAAGTGGCGGGAATAACTAGGCCACCAGCCAGGCTCTCCTTCTCCAGGAGCCACAAAGCGCTGAGGCCATTGCCACCACTGGGAACAACCGCTTAGCCCCCCTCCCCATGCTTCCCTGTCCAACCTCTAGCACTTCAGGTTTCTCAGAGCCTTTTCACACAGGTAGCTTTATGTGTGTGATTCTAATGTGCCATCAAATAAAATGTGCACCTCAATTTTGGCAATGTATTTTA